ACGCAAACGCAGAGGCATGAAGCATCTCGCATGAAAATGCACAAACATGGCATTCATGAAAACATTGCTTTCCGACATGCAAAAAGCGCACTCCCTTTTTTTGCTCCTACTCAGTGGGGAAATCTTGCCGCCGCTTTCGCCACGGACCCCACCCATCTCATTGTGGTGAAGCTGCTTTGCTCACAAAGCTCATGCTGCTTTCAAACACTGCTTCAACTTCCTCTTTAGGAACTTCAGCACTCTGTTTTAGCAAGGGGTGTTTCAACTGTCGCGAAGGAAAGTCTGCAAGATTCGATGGTGAAGGGATCCTTCCAAACCAAGGCAAAACATGGTGTTCATCCAAGGTGGTTGCTGCAAGTGCACAAATAGCGGTGATGGCACGGGACACAGAGTACCCTTTGATCAAAGAGAACTTCGAACCCTCATTGTCAATATAAACCATAAGCTGCGTGGAGTCCAGGTGATCGGCCCACAATAGCAAAGACATAGCCACGGCCAAAGTCTCAAGCTCACCTATCACAGTTTCTTTTCCTCCATCCAGAGTGCTTAACTTCTCTTTCGCCACTTTCAGGCCAAACCAAGCAAGCACCTGGCCCTGGCCAGAAACAAGAACTGCTCCCAGACCAGCACCATCATTAGGGTCAAAACTCGCGTCCGTAAGCAGGAAAAGGGTGTCCAACATCCTGCATGAGAGGAGGCGTGGCTTGCCCCTCAAGACCCTTTCCTTGAGCAACTTCAGGGCTTCCTTCAAAGAGTTGGACAAACATTCTTGAAAGGGGGAAGCGTAAGCATGGCGTGTAATTTCTTGCAATGCCACTTTGCCCAGTCGGCCAAATATGAACGCGTCACAGAATGCCAGCCTCCCTCTAAGGACCAACGCATCTCGCTTCTTAAGGTCACCTCTTGTCAAAATTTCATCCAGTAAGGTTATCGTCTCCTTGACACGCTTCTCGGTATTACAAACTCTAAGCAACCCATCTTTGCAACTGCTGAGGTCAAATTGTACCCCCAACGCACAAACCAACAAAGAGAAGTCATCACTCTTAGGACCCTCCTTATCAAAGCCCCAACCAAGCACATCCAGCATCAGGCAAAGAGCAGCTTGCGAATTGCCAGCCAACGTAGGGGGAGAGAAAGACACAAAATCATCAAAGTAGCAAGATAATGGGAGCTTCAAGCACTTAGCCGCTGTCCATTGTAAAAATCTTGCGCGTCTGATGAATGCATTCACTACAGTCCGAGAGCCAAATGGAAGTGCAACCTGCTGGAACAAATCAGCAGATTTGGAGGTTGGATTGTAAACTGACAAAAAAGCATGTCTTCTTGAATCATCCGCTATGGCAAGTTGCCTGTATGCCGATGCTAAGTCCAAGGAGCGGCCCAGCAGTTCTGTAGATCTCCCCTGATCCGCCAAGCACCTCATCAGGTAAGTTGCAAATGCGCAAATAACATCTGGCCCATCAACGGTAGCTTGCTCATAGCATGTCACCGTAGCATTTATCTGACTCTGAGATAAATCATCAATAGGCCTTACTTTACCCGACTGTTCGAGGGGAAAACGGCGCGACACGGTATCGCCATCTCCCAAGTCAGACCAAGGCAATGGTCCCAGCATCCAGCCCTTTCCAACTTCAGAAACTGTCTTTTCCCAGAGCTTGTTGTCCAGCTCGTCATCACCACTGCTCCTAGTCATATAACGCAAGGCCAGGTTTGCCCTTTGCGAGTTAGCACAAAGGTCCTGCTCTGTCATGGCTGCAGGCAACAGCTTTCTCGGCAACACGTTTGACTTGGGCACCTCGCCAATAAGGGAAAAACCAAGCACCATGTCATCCGCAAGGGTCTTGTCCTCGTACCCTTCAACCTCAATGATATGTTTCATGAGGAGAAGGCGCTTGGAAACCAATATCCTCTTGCGCTCTTCAGGCATGGCATCCTTCAGATTGGTTTCTGCTTCTTGTAGACTTCTAGCCAGCCTGATCCATTCACCAGTTTGCAACACCTATTGTTCACAACGTCCGCATGAGTCATAGTTGCAACATCTGCACAAGCCGCCCCCACCTCTGGTGGGAGACCCGAGAAGTTTGAAAAAGGGTGACCCACAAGCACTGCCTGACGTAAAAACTCCTCTGGCGTCCACCTCACTCCAAAAACCCAATCAGCACATTCGGCTTCACTATATGATTCTTCCAAGACAAAACGCTCTCCATCACAAACCTGGGGCTCTTTATGACATTGCAGCTGAAAAGACTGTTCCACCAATCCTCCTCCAGGAGTCGGCGCATCAGCCAGAACTTTTAGAGAGGGTGTGCGTTCCACCGAAAACTTGAAAAGACGGCCCTCACCCCCTTTCTTGGTTGTCTTTCGCAAGAGCTTGCTGGCACAAGGAATAAAAATATTCTGCTCGCCGCATTTCAGATAAACACAGGTTGCAAGCGTCGAATTGACACACTGAAAAGCGATCCTATCAGGCACATTGGACAAAACAATCACATGGGAATATTCTGGAACCATGTGCATGCTCATTGACTTGGTGGGCTGCTTGGCTGCCGCAATGGCCTGGAAATGAGAAAGCTTCAGTTTTTTGGAATATTGCACAACGTTTGGAAGCTTGTATTCATTTGCAATTGCTTCCAACACCGTAGTCGCCAACGCTTTTGCCAGCATTGGTGTGTACTCGGCTTCCAGGGCGGTGTCAAACACTCCATCTGTCATTGACCATGGGGCATGCTCGTGCCTGCCGTCGCACAAGACATTCAGTGACATGATGGCCCCATTGTTGGATGCCAAACAAGTGCGTTTCAAGCGTTGCCCACCAAACATGCAGTTGTGCAGCTCACAGTAAAAAGGGCTGGTAGCAGCCTCAACATCCCGCCAGTATGAAGTTTCCCACATAAGACTTGTAAAAGGATTCTCAACTGTCCATGTGACTCCAGCCTTGTCCAACAAAAGTATCAGTTTCCTCATAAAATTATAAAGCTTGTTGGCCGCCCGCAGTTTTATAAGGTGAAGCCCCTTGACTCCAGGGATACCGTCAGGGTATCTGGAGTTCCTTAGTGGTGGCGGGCCATGTATTTTCCGGCTCAGCCTTCTGAACCTCGCTCTGGATGCCGTTCCGCATGGAATTCCAAAGTGCACCCAAAGGCATCGCCCTGAAAGAAGCCATTGTTCCACCAAAGTTTGATGGTCCTCCCGAATCAAATCCAAACAGACAATCTTCACTCGTTGTTTATTCACTTTGTGATCCACCCCAAAACTATCTGGAAAGTAATGCTTCATGGCGTAGGTCAGGTTACCTGTCCCACAAAAAAGCTCCACGCAGAAAAAACCATTTGCCCCAAATTGCGGTCTCACAGAATCATCTTTGTTGATTTGTTCACTCTCCACAGCTTGGAACTTGCGTTTCAATCCACGTGATGAAACTCCAGCTTTTGCCTGCTCGGGTCACTGGTGTTCAGTTTGGGGATGATCTTTGTAGCATCCCGGCACCGCGCAAACATGCTGTCTCGGGCACTTGGACCCCTGCTTGCAAGTCCCCAGATTGTAACCAAAGCAAATAGGGTCACCCTGTGGCGTGCGTGAGTGCATGCCCTTCAACGCTTGCGGAACTGGATCCCTCTTCTTGCCCTTGCTGTTGCCTTTGGAAGCTCCCTTCGGCACCTTTTTGGGTGGCTGGGTACCTTTGTTGCCCGGGGTCTCTGGCCTTTTCTTGTCCTTGTCAGCTTTATCGCTGGAACTGCCACCATGACTGACGGGGACCGGGAGCATGAAGTATGTGACCGTCATGTCTGACTCCAATCTTTCGATGTATGGATCCAATGGCTTTCCCGCTGTAACTGGTCCCTTCAAGGAGCCTGTAAACAGCTCGCTCATCCTGATGAAGGCTTGTCTATCCGCTCTCAAAAGTTGAGCCTGCGAAATCTTCTGGAATCCTGGAGCTGGTGACTGGGAGTACAAAGCAAATAGGCGATCCACCCACTTCCTCATGACCTCGTAGGTGGCAATTCCTGTGAGGTCCATGGCAAGCGTCCGACGTTGAAGAGCTTGGTATAGAACCAAATCCGATGTGATGTGGATCTCTGCACTGCTTTGCTGCTCCTTAACTACAAGGGATGTCTTGCTTGCATCCAACTGTATCTCTTTCTCTGGTTTGCTTCCCATCAACTCCTGCTGCCTTGATAGGCATTTAGTTGGTCCTATGTAGGCAATCTCGTTCTTTTCGACCATACTTGCACACAAATCGTACAAGGCATGGGCTGGCTCAAGCGGCCCAGTAATATCCAAACCTCTAAACTGCTGTCGTTGAAGCTCCAAGCGTGCCTCTCTTTCGGGGGCTGACAACTTCTTAGGTGCCGCATCATCTCCCCTAGCCGTGGCCTTGAAGGTATGCATCATCAGTGTTTGGCTCTCAAAGAGCAAGCGTTTGAATGCGGCCATGTCTGCTATTGACGGCGCCACTCCCACTCGCATTGTTCCCAGAAAGGTGTTGATCTGATCGTCGGATGCAACCGTTCCAGGGCTGGTAACTGCAAAACTCAACTTTGCAAAAGTGGCCAATGCATTGGCCTTCAACGCATCAACCCAGGGTTTTCCCAGCCCTGCTTCCTCTGCCTGTTCGGCAAAGGTTGCCTCTGAGTCCAGAAACGATGATGCTGCCATGATGGACGCTATGAGAGGACTGCCGCCCTAAAGCTTCAAGAAACTCTATTATTAAAAACCCTTTATGAGACAGCCTTTATGAATTTCCTGTCAAGGGCAACCACTCCAGTTAAAGTTGCAGGACAAGAAACAATTCTTAGGTATGCGTTTCCAATCTTTCCTAGTCAAGTAGAGTGCAAATTGAGGAAATGCCATGCTCCTAGATCGTCTGATCCCAGCAACACGGCTCAAACACCGTTTTGTTCCTTTGAACCGCAAGTCATAATCCTGAGCATTCTCAAAGGATCAGCTTGTACCAATGAGATGCTGCTTTCAACATCATGCGTTTCAATACCCTTTGGTAATTAAGCTCCATCAAATCGCTCTCGAAATGATACTGACTGATGCTGCTGAAACAATTGCAACCTCACATGTCCTATGACAAGGCGTTGCAAACAACAACATGCTCACATGTGTGCCCCCCCACAGTGATCTGTTTCTGAAACATTCCATCATCGCTGAGTCTACTGATCCGAGTTGTCGGCATCATCAGCGCAAAAAGTCACTGTCGCTTTAAGCGTTTTGACTTCTCCTGGTCTAGCGCTTTCACTAGACCAGACACATCTGAGATCACCTCTCCTTTGAAACAACGGCTGCACCTAGCATTCAGCGTCGAGCAACCATTCTGCATAAGCTCAAAATGAGCATCATTTACCAACCGTCCACACAAAGTCTGGCGTTGAAAAGACGAGCATTTGTGAACCACGTGGCTTCTGATGTTTCTCCAGACCGGTCCTTCTATGTGCATGCCCGCTCCAGATTCATCTGGCCCCGAGGAACTATCATAAGAGCTTGAATCGGTAGACGGAATCTCACTGGAAGCCTCATCATCCACTACGTCCTCATTCTTTGAAGATGGTGGGGCACCCAGCGGTGATGTTGGCTCATATTCCTCGTCGCCTGGTACCGCAACTCCGGCTGACCTGGAGTCCAAAAATTTCTGTGGCAAGTGCCCCCCAGCTTCCTTCTCCGCAGCTGACAATCTCAAGAGATCCACCATGCGCGACGTACGTGATTCATCTGGCCTGAAATGATCCAGCCTTATATTGGCCAGCATGCTACAAAAAAGTTGCAACGGCCTGGTCAACAAATCCCTTGAATACACAGTCATTGCCTTCGCTCCTTGAAGTTCGTGATGTCCCAGAAGAGTCCTTGAGGGCTCGTCGAGTCCATATGCTGCACACCAGGACAGTGTTGTGTGTTTCAAGGAGTGCGAGGTGACTGCATTCTCCTTGTTGGTTTTCAAAATCTTGTTCAAGAAAATGCCAACCTCCTCAGTAGTGCAAGACCTTTTGCACAGCACACCACCATGCGAGGCCGCACGGCAAAGCGCTCCAAAAGGTTCCTTTTCAAAGCTCACACCCAGGCTTTCACATGCCTGTACCCAATGCTTTGTCCAGTCCACGGTGGTGACACCCAAAACCGGTGCAACCAACGGCATGTACAACTGTTTCTTCGCCAGTGACGTAGCCGTTTTGTGATACTTTGTACGGGCTTCCACAAACCCGTAAAGTCCTCCCTCATATTCTGTTCGTTCAATCCAGATTTGATGAATGTGTTTCAAGTCCGACCATCTTGATCTGGACAGAATTGCAAAGATTATTGCCCCCAACATGTATGCGTCAATAGGATCCAGAGGCTCCTGCATTGTTCTCTCCAGCAATGCCAGTTCTGAAACCTTTAAGGGCCTTGCCGGCGTGTAGGTCTCCTTCTCTGCCATCAAACGCTGGGCCCTACCGCGCAGCTGAGGATCACTCATCAATTGGTCTGGAATGGGGATGTCAAGAACGAACCTTGCAAATCTAAATGCCTCCAACAATGTCAAACCTCTTGATGCCGATGGTCTTGACCGCCCATCCATTCTCAAATACTGAAGGCAATGATTGCGATTCCATGGGTCCCAATCCAAAAATTGCAATTGCAACCATGAAAAATACTGTAGCAGAGTTTGAGCACGTTTTATTGCCGTTCTAGGTGACTTGATTCCAAGTGAATCTCTCAGCACCACACTGATGGTTCCAGGGTCAGTTGTTACCTGTTCCTGCAAAAGCGCCTTGCCAAGCTGTCCAGGGTAATCCAAGATTTCAAAGACCTGCTGCCATTTATACAAAGCTTGATTCCAAAGTTTGTCATTCTCTTCCATTGCATCTCGATCTGGAAGAACCTTGACCGCAAAAGAATAAAATGGTAGCTTCAAGTCATGACTAATTGAGCTCTCTGCCACGGTCTTCTCTGTGGCCCGCTCCACCTCATCTGATGCAGCCGCAGCAGATGAACGATGAACCAAATATTCACCTGGAACAGGCGGCAACACATTAGGAAAAACATCACTGTCATCGTCCGAGAAAATTGTTTTCCAAACTCCCTGCTCCCACGGCAGCTTCAACTCTGAATCTCCTACAGCATTCAAACGTGCTTCGAACAGAGCCCTATTGAAATCCGACTTAGACATGGGCGTATCCTCACGTTGATGTTGGACACCTGCAGGAACCTGTGTAGACTCCTCCATGTGTCCATGCGCGTCAAGACCTAACTGTCCTGCATCTGAACCATATCCAAAAAGGTCACCAGTGTGTGTTTCAGGTTGAGATGGATGCAATGCAGAAGGTGATGCAATACGTTCATCCATGTTCTGTGCCTCCGCTTCAACAGCCTCTGAAGATAAGGCTCCAACGATTCCCATAAAACTGCCGTCTGCCCCATCAAACCCTAAGTTGTCTGAACTCATACCGCCCTGCCAAAAGAATATCCTCGCTATTCCAGCAAATGCAATGGCAAACAGTGCAAAGCAGTTGAGATCGGTAATGGCAAAGAAATACGACAGTATCAAACTGAATTTCACTATGATGTCGTACCTGTCGGGGTCCCAGGCAAGAGGCACCGATCACACACCCATGGCTCCACAAAAGAAGAAAAACCACAAGAAAGTGGAAACCCTCCCTCCCTCCCTTTGGAGGCATTACTTGAAATTCAATGGCCACCGTTGGCATAGAATTCATAAACACTTTAAACTTCATTCATGCTTTCATCTGTGTACTGTTGAAATGCTAACGCAAGGTTTTGTGGTTAACTCTGTTTAACAAAAAACAGTTTGAGGTTTGCACAGATTTAAAAACTGAAAAGAACTGCTCACAGATCTTTCTTCTAAACATTCCACTGGGGAATAAGAAAGTGCAAAACACTCAGACATAAAAGCCACAAACCCTTATGCAGATCGCAGAACGCGGAGACGCTCGCAAGAGAAAAGAGAAGGCCGCGTCTAGAAGCTGCTTACAGCTTCTTTTTAGTGTAGAGGAAATAAAGTTCCATCAGCGCGCTGAGCTGCAACTTATGTCAAGTTATGTGACACAGCAGCTCTTGTTCATTAAATGAACTTCTGACACCAGTCCTTCGAGCCGATGTCTCAACTGGTAAACTCGATTCCAGGTTTCCAGTTAACAAACCTCAAGTTCTTCAAATAAAGGTTTGTTGAAACTATTCCAGCTGCTACAAATCTACAAAACTCACTTTTCACTAGATGAGTTCAAAAACATCGAAACACTGCCAAAAGTTCTCAAATCAAACTGGTTCTCATCCAAACGTGAATAACCAGCCTATTAGTCAGCTTGCTGGCTAACTTCTCAAGAACAAAGTGATTCACACAAGGTATCTGTACAACCTTCTTCTGGATACAAAACATAGTCAGAACACAGCGTTCCTTCTTCAAATCAGCTTTCCACATAGAGATAGCATCTCACAGCTTCAAACTTCAATATAGAATAGAATGTTCTGTCCGACATTGTCAATGTAGGTCAGCCAAATACAGTTGTATCGCTAAAGTCTGTCGACCACCGTAATAGCTGATCCACAATGTAGACCAAAGTCGCTTAGGCCTTACAAAGTAGGCAAAGGTCGCATTGTCCTTAAGCAACGATCAAAGTTGTCGAAGAATGTTGAAGTTCTTCGAAGCAATAAAAGTCATAATCCAAGATCAAATGTCTGATCTGTAGATCACGATGACGATAATGTAGGTATTGTCCTCACAATACCGAAACATCTCATCACAAAACTTTCAGACAAATAAGACGAATAAATATGGCCATTGTCCTCACAATGCCAATGCATCTCATAGTCTAAACTCAAAGTGTAGTAGCTTCTCCCCATCAGATACTTCCAGCCAGCTTAAACTCTTCTCCAAGAGTTTCAGCTGTATGTTCTCATCACTTGGAGAGAATAAGTTTCTCAGCATTGAAGACACAATAAACAATCTCAATGTCAAGCCAATGTAGGTATCTTTAGCTCAAGCAATAAGCTGTACCAGACTCAAGCCGAATCCAGAATAAGATGTAGAACTGACCAATACACCACATTCAGATCAACACTGATCAATGACATCTCAGGATGTCACAGAGTGATGAGTCCGAAGACTAATAGAATATTGTGACACAGATTGATCACAATGCACAAGTTTCTTCCGCAACAAGTAGAATGTTCTCTACCAATCTTCTGTGCATAAAACTATGCCACGGTGATGAGTGGCATGTCGCTTCACCCTTACACAAAGGGTGTTCCCATAGGGCGTCAAATTTCCATACCCCCTTTCGACATGACATCTCATCCAATCACATCACTACTATGTACGGACACGATCCAAAAAAAAAATCATGGTTCCAGATCACATTCATGATCAAAAGGTAGTCAAAGACAGACGAACCGTCTTCCAATACGCGAGATCTGTGTTGAGCTTGTACTAAGGTTCTGAAGTGATCACTAGGTTGGTACATTGTTGATGTAAAGTCAAGGGCATCGAAGAATTTGAGTATTCTTGATTCAGGTGACGTGTTTTTGTTTCACTTTTGGGCATGTTGGCTGTTAGGTCATTTGATGAAAGTGACTTGTCAATTGATTGCCTGAAACGACATGTTTTTGTGAAATGCTTGAGAATATCTCGACAGGCTGAGGTTGGGAGTGAGTCCTGGAGACACAAGTGAGGTGTTTGGACAAAATGAGAACTCCGACAACTTGTCTGGAGATAAGCAAAGAGAAGTAGATAAATGATTTGAGTAACAGGCTGAGGTTGGGAGTAGGTCCTGGAGACACAAGCGAGGTGTTTGGACAATGAGGACTCCGACAACTTGCCTGGCAGTGATTGAATGTGAATTTTATTTTGAGAAACCACTTGATCGGAATTTGGAACTGAAGTGTTTGAAATCAAGGAAGTGTCGCCATATCGGTGCTAAGAATGGACAATCGCACCAACACCCGACCTTTGCACGAGGCAGTGCAAGACCAGCTCATTGGTTGGATTATCGGATTAGAGAGGGTGACGAGTGTCTTGCGGCTGGTACAGACTTTGCTCGTTCTCTTGGAATGGCTTTTGCCGTTACTGGAAGATGTTCGGATGAGTGCTAACCAACGAGACATCATAGCGATGTTAAAGGACCATCTCATGGATTTGGAGGCCGAATTGCAGAGACAGGCTTGTGAGATGCGTGAGCATATCTTAGGCAGGTACCACAGGGCACTGGATGGTTAAAATACCTTCGTACCCAATGTTGTATGAGATATGTAGTAAACATAGGCGATGGAGTTCCTGACAAGAGTGGTAAGCGTGAGTAAAATAAGTGTAAACGGCTGAGCTGCATGTGATGTTGTGTTGCGGTTGCGTTGCACGTAAGATTTGTTTTTTTGTGAAAAGTTTGGTGACTTTGGCAAAGAGAGCCTGGGGAGTCACTGGAGAAAGTATTATGGTGACTTTGGCAAAGAGAGCCTGGACAGTCACTAGAAAAGCTTGGTGGTTTTGGCAAAGAGAGCCTGGAGAATCCCTAGAAAGAGTTGAAAGTAAAATTAGAAAAGTATTATGAGAAAGAGTTACATCTCGACAGGTTGGTCAGGTTGTAGTTGATCCTGGACGCACGGAGTGCACAGTGCGTGGTGCTACTGAGCCTGGCGTCATGCCTGGAGCTACCATGTGAAAAAGCGCCGTGCATAGATCTCGCGAAAACCTCGGAGCTCAATACAAACGATCTCAGCTTCACCTTAGATGGTGTCCTTAGTACACTGCAACAAGGGTCAGCGGAGAATGGTGTGGGCAGCTCCGTAGAGCTCCGCTACCATGTGAGAAAGCGCCGTGCATAGATCTGCGGTCAGATCTAACGCTTCATCAAAATTCCTACAGAACTACGCAGGTAGACGCGTACGTCAACCACGCACACCAAAAACACAAGCGCAGAGCGTAAATTCACAAACCTAATTAAACTAAAGCAATACCGTGTCAAGAGAACTGTTTCACCCTCGACTCCCACATGCTGACGTCAAGCCTCTTCTTTTCGCTCCAGACGCAACACGATCAGTCACAGGGAAACAAAAACACAACAAGCAAACAAACAAAAGAACGAAGAAGGACGTGTTCCCTGTGTCGATCTGTCTTATGTCAAGTTATGTGACACAGCAGCTCTTGTTCATTAAATGAACTTCTGACACCAGTCCTTCGAGCCGATGTCTCAACTGGTAAACTCGATTCCAGGTTTCCAGTTAACAAACCTCAAGTTCTTCAAATAAAGGTTTGTTGAAACTATTCCAGCTGCTACAAATCTACAAAACTCACTTTTCACTAGATGAACTCAAAAACATCGAAACACTTCCAAAAGTTCTCAAATCAAACTGGTTCTCATCCAAACGTGAATAACCAGCCTATTAGTCAGCTTGCTGGCTAACTTCTCAAGAACGAAGTGATTCACACAAGGTATCTGTACAACCTTCTTCTGGATACAAAACATAGTCAGAACACAGCGTTCCTTCTTCAAATCAGCTTTCCACATAGAGATAGCATCTCACAGCTTCAAACTTCAATATAGAATAGAATGTTCTGTCCGACATTGTCAATGTAGGTCAGCCAAATACAGTTGTATCGCTAAAGTCTTTCGACCACCGTAATAGCTGATCCACAATGTAGACCAAAGTCGCTTAGGCCTTACAAAGTAGGCAAAGGTCGCATTGTCCTTAAGCAACGATCAAAGTTGTCGAAGAATGTTGAAGTTCTTCGAAGCAATAAAAGTCATAATCCAAGATCAAATGTCTGATCTGTAGATCACGATGACGATAATGTAGGTATTGTCCTCACAATACCGAAACATCTCATCACAAAACTTTCAGACAAATAAGACGAATAAATATGGCCATTGTCCTCACAATGCCAATGCATCTCATAGTCTAAACTCAAAGTGTAGTAGCTTCTCCCCATCAGATACTTCCAGCTAGCTTAAACTCTTCTCCAAGAGTTTCAGCTGTATGTTCTCATCACTTGGAGAGAATAAATTTCTCAGCATTGAAGACACAATAAACAATCTCAATGTCAAGCCAATGTAGGTATCTTTAGCTCAAGCAATAAGCTGTACCAGACTCAAGCCGAATCCAGAATAGGATGTAGAACTGACCAATACACCACATTCAGGTTAACACTGATCAATGACATCTCAGGATGTCACAGAGTGATGAGGTCCGAAGACTAGTAGAATATTGTGACACAGATTGATCACAATGCACAAGTTTCTTCCGCAACAAGTAGAATGTTCTCTACCAATCTTCTGTGCATAAAACTATGCCACGGTGATGAGTGGCATGTCGCTTCACCCTTACACAAAGGGTGTTCCTATAGGGCGTCAAATTTCCATACTTTGCGGATCGTCTTGGTTGGTGTGTGGT